TAAAAATTGCCTTGGTCAGTTTTATCAACTTTACACAACCCACATACAGATGGACGGGTTTCATTCAGCTTGCGTTTAGGCCCTGTTTACAAAAAAAAGCGCTAATTAACATATTAGATTCCCAACTGTGCTTAAGACTCTTTTTGGAGAGGTCAATCCAGAAAACGTTTTGATCGATTTTGAAAAAGCAGAACTAGGTGCATTTGGCTGCCTTAACCAAAAAGACATCAGAGGGTGATATTTCCATCTGTTCAAACTACATGCAAAAAAATCCGAATTTCTCCTACGAAGTTGTACGAAATTGAAGCACGTCTTCTTGTTTCAAACCACTAAATTTTCCTTGAAACATGGCTTTATGCGGTTTCCATCCTTCTCGGACGCCCTCTCAGGAATTCGACCCCCTCACCAACCAAAGGGTCCGCCCTTTGGTATTATTTTAAGACACCCATTTTAGGCCGACCAACCCTACAGTTTTTATAAAGGTGCCTTGTGCGCCAATATACAATAATTTTGAAGGGAAACGCGCGCCGAAAAAGTGCAATTTTTTGGTCCATATTTTTCAAAAAAGAGCCAAAAACTGCTTTTGCCAAGTTTTTCATTATTTTCCCAACGGCGTAAGACTTCTAGTCTAATTTGAGTCTTTCTCATGTTCTGGGAGTGCTCGGAAAACCAATTTGACCGATATAAAAAAATTTGACCGATATTTTTTGAAAATCCTCCCCCCTCCGAGACAATCCTAGATCCGCCCCTGATTTTGACAAGTTTTAAAACAATTACTAAAAGCAAATTCACCTTAAACAGTGAGTAAGTAATCACATTTCGGTGAAAAGCTAAAAACGTAATTGAAACAGAGCGAGAAACTTGTTCCGACTTCTTGAAATGGTTTCAAATTTTCTTTTTAATTTCAATCACAAATTATAACGCTTAATTGTCTTGCTTCTCTGTGCAGCGTTAAAAATTTGGTTGCGGCGCTACAAAACACCATCTTGACCAATCAAAATTTCTGAAAACAGCACTGGATATAAATAAGGTACGAACCCAATTTTCAGTCCAGCTCACAAAAACGAAGCCGCTTCTCAACACTATGACTCGTTGGAAGTGTAGTTTTTGAGAAAAGTCAAAAAATTTCAAAAACTGTAAAAGAATAACACTCTTGGCTTTTCCTAAGTTCATAACTTTTCGGTCAAAAAATTGGGCAGAGCCGTTTAAGCACGAGAACTTCCCACAACCCTTTTTTCGATTGAAATCAAAAACTCAGATTTAGAAAAGTAGTTTTCCAGAAGAGTCAAAAATTTTCAAAAAACGGTTATAAAATTGAAAGTTTTATTTTTCCTCGGGCTATAATATTTGAGCGTCAAAAAAATTGGTAGTAGCCGTTAATGCAGGGGAGCTTCTCGCAACTTGCTCTCTTTTTTGATACCAAAATCGCAATTTTGAGAAAAAAGTTTTGAGAAAATTTAATAAAAAAATATGGATCGAAAACTCACCCATACATTTTTTAGAAGTCAGAGTCAAGTAAAGGTGGAAAGAGACTAGGAGATTATGGAGGCATACAGGGAAAAGGGAGGACTCTCCAATAAAAATATATAAAACCCGAATGCATACATTTTCTTAATACCTGTTTTATCAACCAGGAACCCCATTATTTGAAAGCTAAACCGACAGAGCTTAAGTCGAAAGCATGAAACCGAAAAATCATCGGTAGAAAATCATCAGCAGTATTCTACAATTATTCATACAAAAGTTTGAATAGTAACGGGAGTTAAATTTGACATTTTATGAAATTGAGCATGTCAGCATATTTGATTCAATTAATTTCGTTAAACTAGTTGTTAACTAGAAAAAAGTCTACATTCCGATTTGATAACGCTTGCAAATGGTTGCTCGTTTTAAAAAATGAAACGGAAATAAGAGATCAATGCACATAAGAGTCATTCAATTGATTAATAAGACTTGTATTTGTTTCTGACAACCCTGATCTCGAAACTCGTTTTTATCTAGTGCGTTAACATATCCAGACAATTTCCGACGTGATTCGAACTATTTACACTTCATTCAAAATTTGAACTATTTAGAAGTAGAAAAGAAATTGTTTTTGAGTAGTTCAGATTTTTTTGTCGCAAATACAGGCAGATGCAGTTGGATTTTCTGTCATCTCAAAAAAGTCGTGATTTGATCAATAATAGAGATTCTGCAAACAAATTAACAGTGTGAATACCCCAGCCGAATTATACATACACCAACCGAAAATGCGCAAAGTATTTAAGCCAGGAAAATAATAAGATTCAGACTTCTGCTGACATATGATTGAGATTTGCATGACTTTTGTAACTGTTACATAATTGTTTTATATGTATTTTACATAGAGGCAAAGCTGCTGAAAAAAGTGAAAATTCCAATAAACTATCAAAAAACCGAAAATTTGGTTTTAATAAAAACCAAAACGTTTCTCTCCTTAAGCATGGGAACAAATTTTTGCGCAGCGAAGATTTCCATCCCCTGATTTTTAAATTGAAACCTTATATTCAAATTTAAGAAGTACTTTTCGAGATAGTGAGGAAGTTTCTTAAACAAAACAGTAAAAATTTCAAAAAATGGATTTTTGCAAAATACATATTGGATTTTCTTCAAAATTGGTAAAACGGATTAAACAGAGAGCATCTAAGCACAAGGTTAATTTGAATGAACTATCAATATCAAAAGCAGAGGGTTATTTTTTGAAGAGATAAAAAAGATGTTTCCAAAAAAAACGTGCAGAAATCAAAACAAATTTGGACATTTTCTATGGACATACAATTTTCAAAACGCAGAACATGTCCACTTGCGCAGGGAAGATTCATATAACTGGTTGTTTTATTTTGGTTAAACCCTTAATATAATATTTGGCAGGGTAGTTTTTTGAGCATAGTTTTTTAATTTAACCAAAATGTCAAAAAATTGACTTGTTTGAAGCCATTTTTTTTCCTCCGAGTTTAGTGAATAACCGCTTGAGAAAGAAAGATCACCAAAAATTATTCTTTAATTGAAACCTCCAACTCAGGTTTGTGCTTTTAGCCTTGAGAAAGTGAAAAATTTCAAGATAATCGGGTCAAAAATCCCTCTTCTGAAATTTTCGAAGGCCCTAGAACGTGGGGTAAACTGAAAAGAGACTAGCTAATTATGCAAATATGCAGGCACATAAAAGAGCAACTGGTTCGCACAGTGGCATCATTTTTTGAAAAACGGTACTGTAGTTTTGGTCAAATTGAGATTTCTGTTGGAAGTGGAAAATTTTTCCTAAGCTTTGCAAAAAAACAAAAAAAACAAATCCCTTTCATTTTCATAAAAACTGATGCCTCAAACAGGAAATAACACTAACCAAAAATAAAGCAACAACAAATGCTGTTAATTTGTTTACGCCTAAGTATGATCAAAATGAAAGATACCAAAAAGTCCGCCAAATGAGCACTTTTATTTGCGACTTAGCTAAGAAAAAAATTCTTCGTAAAAATAAACTACGCTTTGCATGTGTAATAATAGTTACCTATTTTCGGTTAGTGTATACGGAGCGTCAATTAAGCAGCGTCAAGACGAACTGTTTGATTTTTAAACGATTTTAGAACTGAGGTTCAAATTTCATTTTATTTTCAAAGAAGAATTTAATTTTTTATGATTCAATAAAAAAGCTACTAGTAGTTTATTTACAGATTTATTGTCTTTCCGGTGCTATGTCTTTCAAATCTTCTGAAGACTCGAACATTTTAACATAGCCAACTGACAGTTGGAAAAAATAATGAACGCACGATAACAGACAAAAATATATTTTTCCATGAACAAACTTCAACCTTTGATTTTCAAAGAATAAAGATATGCCAGAAAAAACTGAAGGGAACAGCAAAAACCTAACTTGTTATTTAAAAAACTTGCTTTCGATTTTAAAAGAAAAATATATCACCATAAGTTCACTGAATTTATGACTGGTGCTTTTATGATAATATTAATCCAATTTGAGACAAACTGCATTAATAGTAATCTTTTACACAGAGGCCAAGTTGCAGTACCAGTCAATTTGAAAAAAAAAAAAGAAATTTACCAACTAACATGCCTCAATTTATAGAGCGGACGCATATTTACTAGTATACGAAAAAGTTCATTAAAAACATCCGACGCTGCCCAGGTCTGAACCCTCTTATTTTGTTGCGGGTCTCCATCCCTTCATCTACGCTACTAGTGCTATTTGTAATATAATAGTCAGTGTATCCTTAGCATTGGCTGTACTTAATAGCTGGTTTTTGGATAAATTTGAACGATTTCAAAATGAACACTTTTTGTCGCAACAATATTTGCGTCGCAACAATCTTTGCAACTAAAGTTGGAAAAAAAGAGAGTTCATACTATCACACAATCTTTGCTTGTGTGTAAATACCGCAGGGAAATCTGATACACGTTCGAAACCAGAAGTCGATCGCGTTTTTCGTGAATTTTACGTTTTGCTGTTCGAGAATGGAGGTTGCCTTCCCTTTTAACAATGGAAATCAACTGAACTTAAAAAGAAATCAAAGTCGAATCTCGAAAAATCGAACGTAAATTTTTACATTTTGGGCTAAAACATTAGCCTGTTAGAAAAAAATGGTCCCCGTTTTTGTGTCTTTAAAAATTAACTCGGAAAATTAGGTGCTATTTGCTCAGAAATAATCTCCTCTACTCCATGATATCATACAAAGATCATTACCAGATTATTATGAATCATGTGCGACCTTTTTCAAAATTCTCATTTGAAAACATCTTTGTGAAGTATTTAATTGAATTTGAAAGAAAGGAAAGGCATTTTTCTACATGAAGATACAATAAAGTTACACAACAATGAAATTTCAACTAAGCTAACTATTGCCAAAAAGGACATAAAAATTGTTCAAGTGGAAAATAAATTAAAGAAGCCTACATTAAAATTGGACTAGCTGAACTGAAACGAACTCTTATCGCAAGGCAACAAAACAAATATCTCATTGGTTTTGGTCAAAACTTAGAAGTTAGATTTTTCATTGGCTAAATCAAACCAAGGTTAAAAGATTAAATGCAGAAACCAGCAAACTGAGAGAATTATCTAATATTGATAGCCTATGTTTTGACTTTGAGGTCTCCCAACCCAGTTTTCAATGATACTGAGTCAAATAAGTGTTCTGCTTCATTCTGTATAACCTCAAACTTTCCCATTTTCGCCATTCCATAAATATACAATATCGAAAAACTTAATTTTTAAATCGAGTTCAGTTCAACTTCCACTAATCCAACGCAAAACTATCTCTAAAACATGAAAAATACATTCTAATCAACTGGGAGATTCTAGTTCTAGCAGACTAAAGTCTAGACAGGAGAAGTCTTTTTTCAGTTCATTTTCGATTTCCTGCATTTCGGCTGATGTGATATCAAACACAGAACGGCAATCTTCTATGCAGTTTTCCAGGTCGTAAGCACTCGGCAATAAAGTTTGTTCACCTCTGGGTAACATATTTGGCTCTGGCTCTCGTAGAAACTGGTTCAACTGGGCTGAAGTTTCGTCCTCCGTCGGGATGAACTGTGCACCATTGTTCGTTATTGTGACGTCATCATGATTGTCCTCGTGTTCGGGTATGAAGTGTCCTCCCATCCCTGTTTGCGGCACGTGGTCTGATTTGAAGCTGCAGTTTGTTTGTTGTGCAAACGGAGAATGGTGCATAGGCAAGAACTGTGATTCCACCTTCGAGCAGTTCAGTCTGTCATCACTTCCTAAATGCAAATGCTTCGTTAAAAATAACACAAACTATTGCCAGAGACAAGATTGATGGTTGAAATAATAAACCTAGGTGCGGAAATTATCTTCAATTTCGCTTAATCACAAAGAAAGAAGGATCGGGAAAGTTTTATGAAAAACATTAAAAAAGTAACCAAAACAAAAAACGGTTTTTGTAGGGGAGCAGATTTAAAATTCAGTAGCGGATTTAGGGGGGGGGGGGGGGCTCAGGGATTCGACCCCCTGCCGACCCAAAGTGCCCCCCCCCTTTATACTATTTTGAGATATCCATTTTTGGCTGATTGACCTTAAAATCATTTTAGAGGCGCCTTTGGCGCCCATCTTTATTAATTTTGAGCGCGGAACGCGCGCCGAAAAAACGCGATTTTTTGGTAAACATTTTCCGAAAAGTGTCTAAAAACGCCTTTATTTGCCTGTTTTTTTTCAAAATTTTGCCTGCGGTGCAGAAATTTTGGTCAAAGCAGAGTCTTTTTAGTGCTTTGGGAGAGCTCGGAAAATCAATTTGGTCGACCTACAAAAAAAGGTCGACAAAACTTTCGAAATTGTTTTGAAAATCCGCCCCCCTCAAGAAAATCCTAGATCTGCCCCTGCTAAAATTCATGGCTAGCCATTTAAACAACCAAAAAATCATCATTTTATCTAAAGTAATAGCGGCACCAAAAAAAAAACAATTTTGGACCTTCCCTTTGCCTTTAATTAGTTGGTAAAAAAAAACAAAAAATCGTCTCGACACAAAAAAAAGAGATTGATGTAGGTGGAAAAAAAACATCATTAAATCAAAATTTCCTCCACCACTTTCATAGTAGGATGACTGGCTTTCCTCCCTATTAAATGGTTGCTGGGATTAGTTTGAAAAAATTTTTGCCAACCTGTTAAGACAGCCGACAACGGAACATCTAAAAAATCAGCGAATGGATGAATGTCATTTCTAAGAGACGAGGATGACATTTTCTGGACCAAATCGTCTAATTCATTCGCATTTCCAGGAACCGTTGACGCCGATGAGTTCTGAGAAGCACCTACTGTTGCAGATATCATTTGTGTGTCATTTACTTCGAAACTGTTTTTACCCTGAATTCGATTTTTGATTGAGTTCGAGCCTATATTTTGTTTACCTGTGTACAAACTAGGTAAAAACGCTTGCATTTTTTCTGTGTCGTGATCAAGCAAATCGTGATCATCAGATATGGTAGGTGAATTGCGATAGAGTTCAAAACTATTTTTACTCTTGACATCTGTTGAGTCCATCAGTGGGACAGACTTCGATACGTGCACACTTTGCTTTTGATCACATTCAGTTGTTGTGCCCCAATTTAATTTGTCAGGTTTGAAATCGTGCATTGAGGGTGATTTGCTTTTAAAAGATTGTGGATACGAGCAGTGGTCAATCGGAATAGTTGACAGTCTGCTAGTAGGCGCATTAGAATTCGTTGTTCTATTATCTGAACGCGAACTAGAATTTGGTTTGCACAGACTTCCAGATTGTAAGTCGAATTCTCCCGAAGATGAAACAATCTGATCAATGTTTCCATTTTCACATTCTTCGTTTTTAAAATTCTGTTCACGTCGATTCGAGATCTCGGTTTTCGGAGTAGTCGGGATCGAAAATGTTTGAAGAAATTTGTTTTCATCATTTGTATCCCTTTTCGCTGGGGTGTTTCTAAATGGCATTTGGGCACTTCTAATTAAACTTGCTCTGCTAATACTTCTATACGGGAGTCTTTCATTGTCTTTTAACGCTTTAAACTCATTCCCTGTCGAGGTCTTTTCAGCGCAGGGAAATTTCGGCACTGGAATTATACCTGCTTTCGGGAAACTTGCGGTAGTTTTTGGTTGTATAAATGAAAGTGTCACAATTTGAGGTCTATTTGCATGTTCATTTGAAGAGCCAGTTACAATTCGTACAGTAAATGGCGCATTATTTGTTTTTAGAGTAGCAACTGATATAACTTCCTGTTTCGTCAAGGTAGGAGTCTTAACGGTTGTTGGTTTTATTACTGGTTTCGATACTACATTAAATCGGCAACTTAAACTTGAATTTTGTGCTTTTGTATCGTTTGTGTTATGGTTTTCAACCTTGGCATCAACCTTGGAGTAAGCAGCATTTCTAGTTTCTTCTATTTTCTTTTTCGTGACTTTCGAGCTATTTTTAGGCCGACCCGTTCTTGTTCGTCTCTGACCTTTTGACCTCCAAGCGTCGCTCAAAATAGCCGCTCTGAGCTTCGCTTTAACATCCAAACTTTGCTCCCTTCTACCTAAATCATCGCCAGTTAGCTGATATTCAGATTTTTGATCAATTGTTTCCTGACAAATCAGATCATCAAACCGTTCTTCCTTAACTTCAATGCACGTTTCATTTCGAATAACAAGTTGAGAATCATCGCGTTTTTTCATCATTTTTGACAGCCTCCTTCTAACTTCGGCCAATTTTTCGATTTCAGTTTTGATTGCAGAATTAAGTTGGTCACAGTTAGCCAGAGAGTTTTCATAGGCATAGTCGTATTTCCGACAACAAATAGGCTCTTCCGCGGGTCTATAATGAGGTTTCAGAAAGGGATGCGCTAAGGCCAGCTCGGACGGCAAACGGCTATTTGGCTCCCAAATTAACAATCTCTGCATTAAATCCATCGCTTCTTGACTATTGCAGGAAGGGATTTTCTCCATGAAGCTAGACCGTGAGGTCTGTTTAGGCAAAGATTTCACATAGGCTTTAATTTGCTCAGAGTTAATTCGTTCAATGTAGGATTGACTAGGGTAGCCTAGAAGAGATATGATTAAATTAAGTTGGTTTACTTGTGATTTTCCTGGAAACAGAGGTCTTCTCAGAAACAACTCCGCCACTATACATCCTACACTCCACATGTCAATAGAAGTAGTATACTCCGGATGGCATAAAATCAACTCTGGACTTCGGTACCATCTTGTAGCAACATACATTGTAGCTTGTAGTTTCGCAGCACCGTTTTTGCCGTTCAATCCATTTCGGTCTGAAACGCTTGTCATCTCTCGGATGACCCCGTTTGAACTTTGACCTTCGGTATCACATGGCGATAAAACTGGCTTACCTTCGTCATTTTCTCGTTCGGATCCGTCGTTCAGACACCTCGCCATCCCAAAATCAGCAAGTTTCAAAAGGCAGTTTGAATTAACAAGTAGATTAGAAGGCTTTATGTCTCTATGTACAACGTTAGCCGAGTGAAGGTACTTCAAAGCTCTTAAGATTTGATAGAGGAACCATCTAACATGATCTACTGACAAGCCTTGTGGACTTTGAATAATTTTGTGCAAATCAGTTTCCATCAAATCTAACACTAAGTACAAAGACGCTTGATCGCCGCTCGTCAAAACATCGTACAGATACACAATGTTGTCGTGCTTAAAATGCCTCAAAATTTTGATTTCCCTTAAGGTTCTTTTCAGACAATATTCAACATTTTGTCTGTTTTTGATTCGCTTCACAGCCACGTGGTCGCTTTGGTTGGGTAAAATTTTGGGCGAAAGACTAGTCGCGCGCCATACGGATCCATAAGCACCTGTTCCGATAAGATGTGAAATGTTGTATCTGTATTTAAGGTCATTTTGCACATCGCTGAATGAGTCATTTGCTTCTTTGAGTCTCTTCAGAGCTTCAGCTTGCTTCGAAGCTAGGTCCCCTTGGTTCATTTTCACCAGTCACGGACAGTCAGACAAATGTCTGATTGTTCAGGCCGCCAATTCTTTCAGGTCATACTCTGCCTGAAAAGTCCAAAATGTCAAAATCAATTGGAGCTCAACGCACTAAATGCAACGACGTGCAGTTTTTTTCGAGTAGAGATTTTGAGCACTTCTTGGATGGTGTCGACATAAGAATTGACGGTTGTTCGGCTTAAAACAGATGTAAAACATTACCCAAGCAATCAGAACTAAGAGAAAGTTCTACAGCAGCTTCAGAGCCCAAAGTAAGTTGTTAGGTGTTTATAACCAACTTAGCATCAGAGCAAGTATCAAATACAAATAATTGCATATCGATTGGACGCAAGCAAATCAATATCAAATTGGAAGTCCCCGAAATCTGGACGCTATTAACTAAATGACACATCTGTTTTAATCTAGGGTAATTCTCAATCAAAATACATCCAAAATTTGATCAAAAACACCTGGAAGAATGAAGTCTTTTCCCTGGGCAAATTCCAATCACAAATCGATGTCATCTTGTGCCAGGAAAAACACTGCAAATCATTTATACGTTAATTAGGCCTTCACTAACGAGTTAATGAAATTGGAATGCATATTCCTTCGAAAAAAAAAACAAATAAAAAAGCATTTAGATAAAAGAGAACAGTAACCAGAACATTATGTGTTACATGCTCGTAACAAATTCGTTCAACTCGTGAACGAACTGCACCCATCAAATCCAAAGCTCATCGTTAGTTTTTAGGATGGACAGAAAAATGCCAAAATCCTGAGTGCAAAAATGTGTCCCGTTATACAAAATGGCTATAAGTGAAGTTGACAAAAATCTTTCCGAATTAATTGCGGCCAATGACCCGAGTAAAAGTCTGTTTCTTAAAAGGGTTCAGCAGCTTTAACAAATTAAAGTTATTCCTCATAAATTCTCACAAGTTTATATTGCAAAGCAGTAAATTTTTTAGCAGTAAAAGTTGAACTTATGCAGAGCAGTAAAAATAGTAAGAAAAAATTTAGCAGTAAGAGTTAAACTTATTTGTAGAAAAATTGAAATTGAGCTCCACCCCTTTTGCATACGGTAAAAAGATCGATGTAATCACGCTGTCTTGTTCCCTTTTAATCAAACTGAGTTGAGCCAATTCAACTTTGCCCTATTTTATCCGTTTTCACTTTTTTAATTTTGACATTTTTGAATTGCTAAAACTTTTGTCCAACCTTTCGAACTTTTGATCTTGGAACCAATGATTTCACTAATGGATTTTTTTTTCTCACTTTGACTCTTCTATGGTCATTTAGTATACAGCATTTAAATAACAAAAAATCAAACAAATGCAAACATCAAGCATTAAAGGACATTAGATCAGATCAAACAAATAATTGCGAATAGAGAGAAACAGAAGGGTTTGATTTGCCCCTTGAGAAATTTTGAAAAAAAGGTGAAGAAAGTTTTCAAAAATAGGATCGAGAATCAAAGCAGTTAGATTTTGCTGCCCAAGTAAAATAAAAGTCATCAACGATTTCCTGTAGAACACATGAACTTTTTTACCTTTCAAAATAAAGACATCGAGGATCAATCTTGAGATGGTTGACTAAGATGACAACCCGATAAAAAAATTGCTCTTGAAATAGTTCCGTTTCTTAATATTGAACAAGTAGTTGTCAGAGCTCCGGAGTGAGGAAAACTGATCTGAAAGAGTAACGTAATAGAAAATATTTACATCGTACTTCCCGTGGAAGAGACCATGAAAAAACAACAAGTCAATAATTTCGAGTTTATAAAAGCCGGAAAAGTTTTCAAGCTCAGTAGTGACAAATTATATTCGCCAGACATCCCAATCCATTTATTGCATCGTTTATTGAAAGGATTTAACTTGATGAGATCAGTTTTGTTCGGAAATCAAATTTAAGAAGCATTTTACTGACCAAATCTTACGGATCTGGAGACATGTTTAGGGACACTTCTTTTGAGCAAGAAATTTTTTTTAAAACAGCTAGAAAAGTTGCTTTCAATATGAATTTACCAATTTAGGCCTGAAGAAAAAATTAAAACACGGTCCTTTTAACTTTGAACGCAATCGAGCAATTATTATCGATCGATGTAGAGAGTTGTGATAGGATAGTAGTTAAAGAACGAAAGTATTTTACACTTCTCGGGATGAAAAGGCAGCAAATTTTTATCAGTTATAACAGCCCAAAAATCAGTTAGTAAATGAACGGGATCAACGGTGCAGCATTTAAGGTCATCTGCTAAAAGAAAAAAAACTATTGTCAAGATCACTAAAGTCTAGGACACAAACGTCTATGCGTCAAGAGATCAGCTATTTAATGCAAAAACTTCTTTCGCTGTCACCGGGTTCCCCCAAAACGCATGGAAGATTCGTTTACACAAAAAAAACATTCGGAAGAGAGCAAAAATAGGCAAGGCTCTTGAATTTTTTTGAAAGAATTAGGAAATTAATCGGAAAATAAAAAATCGGAACAGTTAAATTCGCATACTAGGGGAATGAACTCACACCCTGCCTTTTCGTAGTCTACCACATAACCACTAGCGATTAATAGCTTCAACTTTCAAATCTTATACTAATCTTCCAGGCTTCTATCACAAAACACCAAGCTTTTGCCTATGACACAAAGGAATCTAAAGAAATTATTTGGACAACAATTGAATATAATGAAAAAACTGGCATAATAACTTGTGAATTTCACACAAAAAATATATGGCCTTTCAAGCTCTTTGAATTTTAAAAACAATTTATGATTGAAACTTTTTTTGAAAAAAGTAATCCAATTCGAGAAAACTGGATCAATGGGTAAATTTTTTCGCTGGTAGATCTGAAAACTAAAATCCACTTTCGAAACTAGAAGTCGATCAGGTTTTTTTCGTGACATTTACCCTTCTGCTAAGTGGAGTTTGCCTTCCTTTCAGAAAGAATTGAAGCTAACATGAAAAAAATACAAAAATCCATCAGCAAAAAAATCAAATTTGAGTGTATACAAACTTCATTCATGACTTTTTCCTGGAAAAAACGAGCAAATAATCACCACGACCTATAAAAAAAGTGTTTGCTAGCAAGTTCGATTTCTTAAGATTTGTAAGAAAGTTGCTTAAGGGCAAAAAGTCTAATTCCCGATTACAAGACACTTGCTATTGCACGTGTAACAAGAGCTCTTCTCATGAGTATCGAATCATCGGAAGTCACAAAACAGATTGATTCTCACATTTGTTTCTTAGAGCTTGGTATACAGTCAGCAAATACGCCAAACAAATTAGTTAGCGCAACTTTGATCACGCCAAGCTTCGTCCATTTAATGTGCTCGTTTTCTTGCTTCAACATTAAGGTAGTGGTGCATTAATTATAAAATATCCACGAATAGAGTCCAGAATTCCGACTGAAATGAAAAAAAAAATCGCCGAAATATACTTCAGGTATTTTGAATTCGAAATTGCATAAAACAAATTTTATATTAACTCTTATTTTTTTCATTGTGAAATTAACCCTTGAATCTCCTCTAATGACAATAAAAATGAAAATCATCACTGGATAATTTTTATTTGATTATCAAGATATTATCTATTGAAGGAATTAGGACAAAAGTTTATACTACAGATTAAAATAGGTTTTTTTTACTAATTGAAATCTACAAAGCGAAAACAGCTTTTAAAATAAGCACTTCACTCACTTCTGCAACATTTGAGCGTCGCTGTCGTTCCAGAGAAAAACTATGTCAAGTCATTTTCTTATTCAATTTGAATGAAGTGAAGTGATTGCCTTTAAATAACTAATCTATCTACAAGACTCCAACTGCATCAAACAAAACATGAACTCATGTTGTACTCAAAACTTGAGCTCTTAAGTTTACAAAATTCTCTAAACAAGTATTGTACGAAGAAACTTTCTGAGATGACCTTTCATTCGTTAAAATATCGAGCGAAAACGACCAGGATAAAACTAATATCTGCAAAATTTTCTCTTTACAAAATTAAGATCTTTGAGACCTAGATGTTTGAAATTGATAATAAGAGCACTCACAAAGAATACGAATAACCTTAATCAGCAAAAGAATGAATATTTGAGAATTAGACACCTCTTAGCTCTGTTTATGGTATATTTTCAAAAAACTTTTCGTGGTTTACTTTTGTAGTAAATATAAACTTTGATATGAATGAACCACTCAAATCATCAGGCCATGTATAGCTTCGATGGAATCGATATAATCCGATAAGTTTATCAATGCAGTGTCGTTTTGTGATGTTGGTTAGCACTCACGACTCGGATCCAGTGTCTTCTGGTTGGCTCTGACCTGATTTCACACTGGACGATCTGCCAATCAGAATATCTCGTTCTCCGCCGATCGGATTGTCAGTATCCAGGTCAACAAACAGATGCTAAAACGCACAAATACAGTCAAATCTACCAAACTTATAAACTTTTCAGATATCTTTGACTCACTTCAATTTAATAAATAACAAATAGCCGTCAGGTCATTCATAAGCGTTTTATTAGAAAGCGAAAGAAAACAACATTCTGGACTAACAAAGAAAATTTTAACCAAGAAGTAAAAACACTGGCGAATAAGGAATTAACATCAGAATATCTAAGATTATATTCTTTGAAAAAAAAAGTTCAAGGGAATTTGAGAAAAACTTCTGAAAAAGAACGACAAAACTTTTTCAGATATTAACAGATTTACAACAGGAAAGAATGAGTCAAATACCTGACACATCTAACGGTTTCTCGACCACTCCGCAATCCTAAATTACAAAATAATTTTTTGAATATTTTTTTCTATGCTATTCCCTTGACCTTAATTGAAAAACATAGCCAACAGAAAGTTGAAAGTGTTGAAAAACAAGGAAGCAAAAAATAGAAAACTTTAAATTTACGATTTACAAGAGAAAAAAGCACAAACAAAATTGATAATTAACAATTTTCATTAAGAATGAATAGTAAAATAATCACCAAAATTTCTTGTGTCAATTAACTTTAAAAATGACGAATCAGGATCGTTTCGTAGAACAGAAACGACGCTTTTAAGTGGCCTGATTATTCATGATTTCACGCATAAATCAAATAGTTTCTCATCTTCAGTGGTCAAAACGAATAGTTATTTAACTTTTGCCATTGAGAGAGTTTGCTTACATGGATTTATTGAATCTTAATGAACCAAAATAATTGTCATTTTTGTTTTCTTAAAGTAAAAATCTTGAAATGCGTCCTTATGCAATTTTGTTTTTCTTTCTGTTCAGTACAGAGCTCAAATAACGTCATCCTATAACAGCGGAAAAAAGACAATGAACGCAAAACAAAATTTTGGCTTTTTTCGAAAAAACTTCAACTTTCGAACTTCAAACAAAAAATATCCCTTGAAGCTCTTTGAATTTCAAGAGCAATAAAAAATTGACAATTTTTAGATAAAACTTACCCAATTTGAGAAAACTGGATTATTCGGAGAAGTTATATCAGCTGGGAAATCTAAATTAAATTCCACTTTCGAAACAAGAAATCGATCACGTTTTTTCGCACCATTTCAGCTTGTAAAATTGGAGAGTACTTTTTGCCAAACTACTAGCAAATGAACTTGAGTTGACCTCAAAAAATGCTTTATATGCCAAAGAGCATTCATATAAATTTTTTATAAATATGAATGCACTTCTTGTGTTATTAGAGCATGTTAAGACTTTTCGCAAAAAAACGGAAAAAAATCATCACGACCTATATAAGAGTCTGAACTACGTTCATCGACTCTTAACAACTAAAGTAAAATTAGAATCTAGCAGGAAATTATTGAGGCATATTAGTCTGCTTCCATTCAATTTGGAACGAGTTTTTAAATGCGTTGGAATTAGGAGTTGAGGACTGAATCACCCAGGACAAATCCACAGGATACAATCTCTCAAAGGACTAAATCCCCCTCAGTTAAAATCCCTTAAAATTACATTTTTCATCCTGGGAACTCAATCTTCTATATTATATACAGTCTTAACTGATTTGTTTATTGAATTCCTTTTATTTTGACTTCCATTTGCACAAATAGAATTTATCGCTATTTTGACGAGACCTGAATTTTAGTTGAAAAAAAAATATGATAAAGTTAGCACATTAAAAAAAAAGATAAATGCGATTTGTTTAAATGAAAACTAAATTAGAAAAATCAATACAAATCATTTAAAAACTTCATGATTTTTCAAAAGCAAATTCCAGGATACCCACGAAGTTGTTGTAGTTGCTGTTGTTTTCGCCCGGAGTCGGGTTATACTTGTCCATCTCGAGGTCTGCAGGGTGCAGGGGTAAGTAGGGAGGGGTTTTGGGGACAGTTGAAAAAGTGGCACGTAGTGTGGATGTAAGGGAGCGGGTTAGACATAGAGGGAAAAGGTAGGTGTCTAGTCGGGAAATTAAGTGTTTTTAAAAGGAGTTGGGATAGCTTACAGCGGGTATTTATGGAGAAGGATTGTTCGGAGGGGACAAGATTGGGTGGAGGAATACAAACTTCTTTAGAGGGTGAAGCTTCGGCAAAAAACTTGGTTAGTTACTTTGTATGGCTGTTTTAAACTAGGTTTAAAATATGTTAGAACAAAGGAGGAAAGGAGACTTCGTCTCGGTTTTGAAAATCTAAAAAAATGGTTAGTTTCGTTTAAAAAGTAGTTAAAAAGAAGTTCATTGGTTTCGTTTCTGAAACAGTTCAGAATTTAAGGACGTATAGTGCTTTATATGCCAAAGAGCATTCATATAAGTTTTTATAAATATGAATGCACTTCTTGTGTTATTAGAGCATGTTAAGACTTTTCGCAAAAAAAAACGGAAAAAAATCATCACGACCTATATAAGAGTCTGAACTACGTTCATCGACTCTAAACAACTAAAGTAAAATTAGAATCTAGCAGGAAATTATTGAGGCATATTAGTCTGCTTCCATTCAATTTGGAATGAGTTTTTAAATGCGTTGGAATTAGGAGTTGAGGACTGAATCACCCAGGACAAATCCACAGGATACAATCTCTCAAAGGACTAAATCCCCCTCAGTTAAAATCCCTTAAAATTACATTTTTCATCCTGGGAACTCAATCTTCTATATTATATACAGTCTTAACTGATTTGTTTATTGAATTCCTTTTATTTTGACTTCCATTTGCACAAATAGAATTTATCGCTATTTTGACGAGAACTGAATTTTAGTTGAAAAAAAAATATGATAAAGTTAGCATATTAAAAAAAAGATAAATGCGATTTGTTTAAATGAAAACTAAATTAGAAAAATCAATACAAATCATTTAAAAACTTCATGATTTTTCAAAAGCAAATTCCAGGATACCCACGAAGTTGTTGTAGTTGCTGTTGTTTTCGCCCGGAGTCGGGTTATACTTGTCCATCTCGAGGTCTGCAGGGTGCAGGGGTAAGTAGGGAGGGGTTTTGGGGACAGTTGAAAAAGTGACACGTAGTGTGGATGTAAGGGAGCGGGTTAGACATAGAGGGAAAAGGTAGGTGTCTAGTCGGGAAATTAAGTGTTTTTAAAAGGAGTTGGGATAGCTTACAGCGGGTATTTATGGAGAAGGATTGTTCGGAGGGGACAAGATTGGGTGGAGGAATACAAACTTCTTTAGAGGGTGAAGCTTCGGCAAGAAACTTGGTTAGTTACTTTGTATGGCTGTTTTAAACTAGGTTTAAAATATGTTAGAACAAAGGAGGAAAGGAGACTTCGTCTCGGTTTTGAAAATCTAAAAAAATGGTTAGTTTCGTTTAAAAAGTAGTTAAAAAGAAGTTCATTGGTTTCGTTTTTGAAACAGTTCAGAATTTAAGGACGTATAGTGCTTTATATGCCAAAGAGCATTCATATAAGTTTCTATAAATATGAATGCACTTCTTGTGTTATTAGAGCATGTTAAGACTTTTCGCAAAAAAAACGGAAAAAAATCATCACGACCTATATAAGAGTCTGAACTACGTTCATCGACTCTTAACAACTAAAGTAAAATTAGAATCTAGCAGGAAATTATTGAGGCATATTAGTCTGCTTCCATTCAATTTGGAATGAGTTTTTAAATGCGTTGGAATTAGGAGTTGAGGACTGAATCACCCAGGACAAATCCACAGGATACAATCTCTCAAAGGACTAAATCCCCCTCAGTTAAAATCCCTTAAAATTACATTTTTCATCCTGGGAACTCAATCTTCTATATTATATACAGTCTTAACTGATTTGTTTATTGAATTCCTTTTATTTTGACTTCCATTTGCACAAATAGAATTTATCGCTATTTTGACGAGACCTGAATTTTAGTTGAAAAAAAAAATATGATAAAGTTAGCACATTAAAAAAAAAGATAAATGCGATTTGTTTAAATGAAAACTAAATTAGAAAAATCAATACAAATCATTTAAAAACTTCATGATTTTTCAAAAGCAAATTCCAGGATACCCACGAAGTTGTTGTAGATGCTGTTGTTTTCGCCCGGAGTCGGGTTATACTTGTCCATCTCGAGGTCTGCAGGGTGCAGGGGTAAGTAGGGAGGGGTTTTGGGGACAGTTGAAAAAGTGGCACGTAGTGTGGATGTAAGGGAGCGGGTTAGACATAAAGGGAAAAGGTAGGTGTCTAGTCGGGAAATTAAGTGTTTTTAAAAGGAGTTGGGATAGCTTACAGCGGGTATTTATGGAGAAGGATTGTTCGGAGGGGACAAGATTGGGTGGAGGAATACAAACTTCTTTAGAGGGTGAAGCTTCGGCAAGAAACTTGGTTAGTTACTTTGTATGGCTGTTTTAAACTAGGTTTAAAATATGTTAGAACAAAGGAGGAAAGGAGACTTCGTCTCGGTTTTGAAAATCTAAAAAAATGGTTAGTTTCGTTTAAAAAGTAGTTAAAAAGAAGTTCATTGGTTTCGTTTTTGAAACAGTTCAGAATTTAAGGACGTATAGTGCTTTATATGCCAAAGAGCATTCATATAAGTTTTTATAAATATGAATGCACTTCTTGTGTTATTAGAGCATGTTAAGACTTTTCGCAAAAAAACGGAAAAAAATCATCACGACCTATATAAGAGTCTGAACTACGTTCATCGACTCTTAACAACTAAAGTAAAATTAGAATCTAGCAGGAAATTATTGAGGCATATTAGTCTGCTTCCATTCAATTTGGAATGAGTTTTTAAATGCGTTGGAATTAGGAGTTGAGGACTGAATCACCCAGGACAAATCCACAGGATACAATCTCTCAAAGGACTAAATCCCCCTCAGTTAAAATCCCTTAAAATTACATTTTTCATCCTGGGAACTCAATCTTCTATATTATATACAGTCTTAACTGATTTGTTTATTGAATTCCTTTTATTTTGACTTCCATTTGCACAAATAGAATTTATCGCTATTTTGACGAGACCTGAATTTTAGTTGAAAA